ATGTTTCCATTACCCAGTTATCAAAAACAATCACGAAATTACTTTTCATCAGCATCTTCGACATGCATAGTTTAGGTTAGTTTAAAAAAAAACAAAATTTGGCTACCTCTACAGGTTTTACTGTTATATATGGATGCTCCCTTTACTACCGTGCTTGCTATGCTATATTATTTGAAACTTTTTTGCTTGAAGCAACTGCCTGTTGCTTCAACCTGACCAACACCTGGTCAACCTGGTTAAAGTTGATCCTATGATTCTACGACTTATCAACGCTAACAAACACGCTTAACAACTTTTCTTTAAAATACACAAGTTGGCAAATTGCACAGTAAAACAATTGATTTCAACTTTCTAAGAAGTGACAAAAAGTCTGAATTAGAATTATTATAGGTAACGTTATCCCTGGTTTTATATAGTATATAGTACATTGCAGAATTGACTGGCAAATGTGTAATCCAAATTTAATATTGCTTACTGGCTTAATGATAATCACAATCAGCTGTATTGAAGTAAACAAAAAACAACAGTAAATGGCTTCTAATGATATTCATATGGAGAACATTTTACTTTATATATAATTTTGTGTTAAAATTTTGGAAATTTCACCATTTTTCCCGCTGTCACGAGATCAAGACCTTTAATTTGAGCCCTCTACCGTCATTCTACGACTTCCCAGTCCCCCACAATTTTGACGCAATAATCTATACTTAATTAATATTGCATAAGTTTTTTTTTTTTGGCTGGGACATAAATTCTCTCTCAATTTGATGTTCACCCAACTCAAAACAGCTAGTTTTTCTGGCAGTTTTAATAGAGAAAATCATATTGTAATCAAATATGACGTGACCACCTATTTATTTCATCTGATTATTAGGCCTATATGATATGCATTTTAAATCTGATAATTTTACAATAAAACAGCGATTGTGTTGATTTGAAAAGCCTTGAAGTGGGATTGACAGTTGATTCACTACCGCTGTAGCAAACTAAATCCGCTAGGCAGCGTGGAGGTCGCCGTTGCAAGCGCGCTGCATGCCTGTGTGTATCTTCCTTCTCTCTCGCACTCTGACTCACCACCACACCATCGCCATCGCTTTCGCTTTGCATCGCCGTACCGGCCAACCTCCCTAGTCCCTGCCTGCCTAGCCACTGCTGACTTGTCTCATTCTGCCACTAATGGCCTACTTCAGTCGCCAATACCAATAATCAACCTAGGGATGTTTGACAAGATACTAACGTTGTAGAATTATTCTATTTTACTGTATGACTTTTTTACGTGTATAAAGTACAATAAAATTAGTATATAAATACATTTTTAAAGTTGTATGAAAGGAGAAAAAAGTTAAAGTGAGTAAAATTAGTTGTTTCATCTGTATTTAAAAACAATTGTGCTACTCTGTTAAGATAATAAAAATATAAATAATATTATTTCATAATTTCATATTATACATAATATATACCGGTATTATAAATTATAATATACGAGGTGTTAGCCCGTCCTACGTACGAGAATCGAGTAGTCAGTTAATAAATTCAGAACAGCTAGTTTACACGTATAAAGACAAAATTTTTTTTGCATTTTTAATGTGAAAAATCATCTTGTAAACAAATGTTGCGTGACCGAATATGTTTTATCCGATCATAGACCTATCATATGCATTTTTAATCGGATAATTTTACAATAAAACAGCAATTGTGACGATGTAAAAAGCGTTAAAGTGAGATTTGCGGGCCCATTGGCACACTGATTATAAGTAACCTACAGTAGTGAGAGTAATAGTGAATTGAGAAGTGTAATAGGCCTAGTCAACGATACTTCCTTCCATTGCATAGCTGCCTCTTCCATAATTATTATCCCAACAATACAATTACTCACACTATACACATTTCCAGTAGGTCTGAATAGAAACTACTTAAAATAAAACGACAATATCCAATAAAATTCACGGTGCACATAACTTTGGTGTCCTAACATCATTAAACGGATCGTCCACACCTATCCTTTATATCAATTTCACTGTGTCAAATTGCTAAATAAATTAGTGTAAACAAAGAAAAGAAAAAACAATAACAATAAAAACAATAAAAAAAATAAATCGAAATTTTAAGACGTAAACAGATCACATAACCATATACTGATTCGGCGTCTATAAAGCTGTTCTAGTGTGCACGCCAGGTTTTCCGACCGTTTTACATCGCTTCAAAAGTACATACACTATGGCCTTATAATAAACGGATACACACAAATAATATGCTAAACGGTTAAAACATAAAAGCCCCTACATATTAAGGTATTTTTCAAAATGATAAGTTAGGGATTTCCATGTAAAAATATCTTTCAATTGTGGGTTAAAAAAAATTTTTGTATTTTATTTTTTTTTATTATGTCAAGGTTTTTGTTGTCACTAGTGCAGTATAAAATATATTTTTAATAATTTTCGCATTTCCCGTTTTTGAGATTTGTGTTGTGTACCTTTATGGCTAAAAATCCGACATTTGACCTTCAATTTTTCCTAAACCAAAACTCCAAAAATTTTTTTTATTGCTGACAACTCATTCTAAAGGCCCAACTAAAAATATAACATCAAAATAAAAATAAATCAAATGCTCACATTATTAGACGCACAGCCTTAAAGTACAGTAGCTACATATCACATAATGCAAACTTTCACTTAAAGAGTACCTTATTTTACCCCAGTGGCCACTGAAACCATAAGAGGATTTTGGTCTGTAGAGGTCTTTCATTGGTGGTCGTCTTACATTGTAAGAACATTTATGTAAGAACATTGGTATTCCACATGGTATTCCAAGGATTACCACATGTCACGTGGACCTTGGAATACATTTTTGAAAGTTGATGTATCTTCTCTCCTTCTAGCCGGTCCTTCCCGCGCCGTAATTCCAACAAAGTACTAAAATGTGTAAAAAGTAAAAAGTCTAGCAGCCGACGCTAACATTCTAGACTAGCTTGTGGTATAATACCATATGCTTAACGTAACAGCTGTAAACATTCAGAGTTTTTGACACAAATTCAGCATTTGGATAAAAATGAAATGACATACTTGTAGGGGTGTAGGCTTGACTTATTCATACTATGTGTAATACTATAATCATTGATACGTTCATTTATTCGGTAAGATGACGACAGATCAATTAAATAAATATACAGATTAGGAAAATATAAATAACAGTGTTTACATTTTAATTCCTCTTGGCTGCTTTTTGTTAACAATAAATGTTTGACTTCTTAAACTTTGTTTGCATTAGGCCTGGAAATATTGATGTTATCAAACAAGGAGATCAAGGATGATAAGGAAACACTGTTTTAAATTGTTCACAAACCCCTGGCGTTATATCCAGAGATAAACAGATGGGTGACATAGATTAAACACAATGTTATCATAGACCTAGGATACTGCAAGTAGCATTAGAATTACTATCCTTTTGTAAAATCTAAAATTACTTTGGCATGTGTTCATGTGCAGTTACTTTTGGATGTGCTGATGTAGGTAAAATATCACTTTTATTTCAACTAAATGCTGCATCTTATCGTTTGAATAAATGAATATGGGAAATTACAATGTACATATATTCAATGAGGGTGGGTAATTATCATGGATATTGGAACGGATAACGGTATGGACAATAAACATAGAAAAATTACATCACTAGCTTACAGCAGTAGAGTGTTTACTTTTTAAATTCATTCTACAGGTGACAAATGTTCTTTTTCCAAATGAATGTTTTACAGCTGTTTTAAAACAAACTATTTGTTACTGTTTTTACTTTTCTTTTTGTTTACTAATTTATGTAGCAATTAATGCAGTGAAATTTATATTAAGGATAGGTATGGACAATTTATTTAATGTTTATAAAAATTGCTATGTACATATATTAACAAATATACATATTAACAAATATTTGTCCCTATGGTATAATACCTGCATAAAAAGATCAATGAATCTTGGTGATAAAGTGTGACACAGTCAATGAAAAATTCTATCATCCTAATATAGAAGATAGGTAAAAAAAAATTGCAGATCCGTATCTTATATAGTAGTATACTTTTAATCACAAGGGTGTAAATTAACTCTTTTTGACACAAGCTCAAGCTTAACAAAGTCAAAAACAAAAATGAGCAAGAGTTGAAAAAAAACACTCACACCTGGGTGATAAATAATACTTTTGTCATATTTCGCTATTTAAGCAAAAAAAAAAAATAAAAAAAATACCCTTCATATAAAGATAAGCTGTCAATTTTGCTTTGTATAAATAATCAATTTTTCCCATACTAATACTAATATGACAAATCCAGTGTAATAACCCCCTAAAATGCATTAGGAATAAGCCATAGGTTATAAGTACATTTAAGCTGTTAAGTTATTCAATTGAGGTGTGGGTATTATTCTTAATAACATAACCACGTCAAGGTCGCTTCATATTTAAAATGTAATTATAACAAACTATCGTCCTTGAGTAATCAAGCATAGATTTTCTAAAAACTATTTAACACTACTAATTGACAGTAAACACCACTGCACTGCAACTGATGAACTAGCTTAGTTACTCGCTGATAACATTGCCATCTCATAGGGATTAATATATCTTCTTTGACGCAAATTAAATATTTATATTTATTTTTTATGGAACATTCATTTTCACATTATCAATTAATTTTCAATTGATGTTCAATTTTCAACTAGGTTAGTAATGAATATTGTTATATTTAAAGGGCTTTAATGAAAAAAACTTGTTGCCGGTGTCATTCATCTTTAAAGATGTGAACAAATTTGAATCCAGTCAACTAGAATGAAAGCGTCAATCAATACATACTTATAATATCAACGAGATAAGTAAACTGTGCACTGTGCAACAGGTTTAATCAGTGTATTATTCAATGACTCTAAAATTCTTCGACAGGCCAATCCTACAGTAGTACAATACTGCTTATTGTGCTACTCCTAATAGTGTTGTGTGACCTAATATTGTTTATATTTAAGGTCTGTGTCCTGAATGCTCCTACAAGTTGAATTACAAAAGCAAGAAAAAAGAAATAAAATGCAAGTTAAAGAAAAGAACAAGTTGTTCTACAACTGCACATGCATCTGAAATCCCGGCAAAGGTTGCTAGAACAGAAGAAGCAGCCAATCTTCAGACTGAATCTGACAGTAATACAAGGTCAACGACGGAAGAGGAGAGGAACATTTGGAAAGAGGGAGTAGCCACGGAGGAAAGGTCGAGAGATGAAGACTTTGAAGACTATTTAGAACATTTATTATTTTAAAAGGTTTTTTACAAAAGTTGATAATGTGTTTTAAATACCTGTATAAGAAGTTAAAATATTTAATTCAAGCAATAATATACAGTATAAGAATTAATTATGTATAAGAGTTATTTAAATATCCTATGTCTAAGACTTGTTACTAAAATATTCTATGAAGATAAAATAATTAATCTTTGCCAGAATCATAGACTATAGTTATTTGTGCAACTAGTGAGCAAAGTGAGCAATTGACTCACTCGAGAGAAATACTTACTCACAAACCGTAGGCGAGTGAGGAATGGTTTCTCGAGTGAGGCAATTGCACTTTGCACTCAAGTTGCACATTATATTTTTCCTACAGTTACCATAAAACAAATAAATTGGTAAATAAACGTAACATATTTTTACACACAAGTGAACTTTTAATATGACATTTAATGATACAACAGTACACCAGCTGACCAGCTGATTTACAGCCAGTGCTGCCAACGTATTTTGCGCGCATACGACCTTGTCTGCATGTTATGCGCTCACTATTTCGTGCCTTCACGTTGCAAATCTGGAGTGAGTGGAGTTGCGCAATGTTAACATTGTCTCACTGGTGAGCGAATTGGCCACTTTGCTTTCTCAAATCATTGAGAGAACATGTACATTGTTAGGTAACTGTAGGAAAAATGTATTATTTCTTATTCTGTTATTGCTTGGTGTTTTGAATCGTGGGACTTTCTTATCTGATCTTCCCTAAATAATTTAGTTTGTATATGTTGGTTTTTTCTTTTATCAATTTTTCCAACACAAATTTATCTAGTGTAGGTATGTAAGTGTGTGTGTGTACGTAAGTTTGTATTACCACCTACACACTGACAATTGATTTTTTTTTGCATCCTCTATCAAATCAGGTCTGCCTAATCAACTTGGGGACTGATCATGACTATATGTATTTAATAAAAACAGATCTAATTTCTTCCTCCAAATCATGCATGCACCTAACCACTATGACAATAAGGCCCTGAGAGACATTAAACAACCGCAGCAGCGCTTACAGGATTCAGTTTGAAAACCATCCCAGGAAAGTCACATCAAAGTGTTAAGAACGATTGTTATATTGTGGTGTGGTGTGACAAATGAGAGGGTTAACAAAGACACTCAAGACATGGTTGTGAGAGCTTTGCTGTTGAGGCAAACATTTGGTTTAGCCGAATGCCAGGAGGGGGCTGGTGCTGGAGCACTCTGGCCAGGTCTCAAGATGATGTCATTGTGATAATGGAGGTGTCAATATTTTGTTGCAAGCACAGGAGATGACGATGATGTCTTTGCGATCAAGAGGAGAGTGTTTAATATTTGGCTGAAATTGTGGGTTACAATGATTATGTCTTTGTGATTTCGGGAGATGCTTTCAATTTCATTGTGGTCGCTTAAAGCAATGACTTACGTTGTAATAACAGGATTTGATAATGGTATCTTTGCGAATGTGTGATTTTGCCGCAATAACAGGACACGATGATGTCTCCGCGATTGCAGGATATAATAACTCTAGTGTGGCAATCACAGATTGCTGTTAGTTACGATGACATAGAACAGTGATATAAAGACTGAAAAGTGAAAATTGATTTTGTTGTTAAATTGCTATTTGCAATGATTTTCTATTTAAAGCCTCGTATTTTTTTTTTATCCTATCCCTTACTGAACTAAAAATTGTACAATCCTATTTAAAAAAGTAAATACCCCCGCCGCAGCAAACCTACAGACTAAGCAAATATTTGTCGGATTTGATTCACACTAAAAATGTCTCCTTAAACAGATCACATTTTTTCCCTATTTAAATAGCACTAGTTAACCACCCGCGCTCCGCCACGGGAATAATGTCAGCGATAAAAGACAATGTTAGAGGGTATTAACGGTCCAATCCAATGGTAAAAGGAGTTGTGGATCTAAAAATTTAAAGTTTTTCTGTTTCTTTTATATTTGATGTAGCCCAGTTTATAAGATTTTCAATGAACTCGGAATGTTGATAAGAAGATAATTTTACCTTTCCCTTGTGACAACATGAGGAGAATATATTTGTGTCCCTGTTCTGTCTCGAAATTCACAGATTTGCAATAGTGACAAATCCAATTTAACGATCCCAATTCAAAAGAGTCAGTGGTTTTTGTAGGGACTTCCAGAACACATTTAACACCATCACTGTTCTTTACTTTTTTAGGTCGACATTTCTCTACTTGTTTTTTCGTTCTGGTTGTCTCTTTACGCTCAGTTAATGACTTTTTACCTTTAATTTTAATTGTACTTTTCACACCCTGGGGATTATGAGAAAGTTTTATAACGATGTGTAAAGGCCTGAGTCAACATTGCCACTAAACATCAAGTCACACACACCTTCACCAGAACCGAAATTGTAAGTCACAGTTTCTCCAGCAACTTCCCTGTGTACTCGAAATAAATAGTTAGGGCACACCATACCATCAGAATGAACGAAAACTAACACCCCAAATAAAAAAAAACACAAACACAGCATAACTGTAAAAAAAACACACCCGCACAACAACAAAATCGCCACACCCAGGGGTTATTATTAAACAGTAGGGGTTAGGGGTTATTGTTAGCTTATGAGGGGGTTCAGTGTTTATAAGTGGTGTGTATGTAGGACACTAAGCGACATACCAGAGGTCTAGGCCGAGTATGGAACCATGGGCAGCACCGTAAGTGACACTCATCGTCCAAGGGCCTTCTGTAGTGTCATACATGAGGAGGCGGAACTGGAACCGGAGATAATCCTCTATGATACGCATGAGGTATGCCGGAATGTGGGAGGTGTTCTCCAGAGCATCCAGCATATCGCACCACCTCGCGGAATTAAATGAGTTTCGTACATCGAGTGTTACGAGCAGCACAACCCTACGAGAGTAGTGGTTATAATCCTCAGCCAGCTCTCATAGCGTCAATCGTAGATCGCCCCATCCTGAATCCATACTGACGAGGGAACAGGTCCCCCGCAGCGACCACGGCTGAATTCAGCCGGGAACGGATCAACTTCTCGAGGACTTTGTCAGCCGTATCCAACATACACAGAGGTCTGTAAGAGGATGGCAGGTCTGGGTCTCCCTTCCCCTTCCCAACAAGCACAGGCCTAGCTGTTTTTCAAGAGAGGACAAAACTCCTTCGACTCGGCAGGTGTTGTACATGCTCAAAAGGATCAAGGGGTTAGTAGTCAAAACCTTCTTGAGGACTTCGCCGGGTACCCCATCGGGTCCAGGAGCCTTATTGTTCTTCAGAGATAGGACGGCCGCCTCCATCTCTCCAAGACTGAAGTGTTACGTCATCCACCCTTCCAAAATCCCGCAGTGGGCGCAACGTGTGAACCGGGAAAAGGGACTCTACTATCCTCTCCATAGTGGCCCCATCCATGATGGAAGGTCAGCGAACAGTACCAGTACCGAGATAGGGTCCTATCTTTTTGGTTACCTGATAGTCTTGGTACTGCTGCATTCTGGGCGCCTGGAAGAGAGCGTGCGCTATTCCACAGGACACGTTGTCGTGGATGGGGATTTTAATGCTAGGGCTGTCGAGTGGGGAATGACCCTGGTACTGCCTACTCTTAAGATGCACAATTTGAGCAAGGCTATACCCCCCTCGATAATACTGGTTATAAGTAGGCAGAGTAAAAAAATCTTTGTGTTAAGCGTAGCACAAGGGACCTCATTTAAAATTCTCAAATTTTAAAGTCAATATTTAAACTAGATGCACCTCTATATACACACAGGCTAGGCAATTACACAAATTCAGGTGGCTAGATCCACTTGCCACTAAACTAGAACAAGATAAGCCTATGCCATGTCCTTGACAAGGCTTTTATCCAATGTTAGCATTTGATTTTATCAATTGACAGTTAAATACGGGACTAGTATTTACTAGACTATTAGTAATTACTAGACTAGTATCTTTATGAAACAGGGCCCTGGCTGCTTTGGACCAAACAGGACCATTTTCCTAGCCCCAAATCTGTCACAATCCAGAATGATGGTGTCTGTAGTCTCATAGGACTGGTTGTAAAGTTGACATTCGCGGTTGTTGTTAATGATTACAGAGTGTATGAATTAAGTCTAGTGGTTATTTAATACACTCTTACAAATATTTTATGATATTTATATAGTATTTTAAATGGTAAATTGAAAGTATTTACCCTGAATTTCAAAGTCGTAAAGAACAAAAACTGAAGCTATTTTTGTGTACTAAGAGCGCAAAGTACGTCATTGTTGCTCTCGAAATGTATGGCCGAACTCAGCTAATGCTTTGTACCGCCATTTACTGGACTGTGTTTGCCAATGACTGTTCGTGCTCTTAGTCTTAATGCACACAAGATTTTTTCCATTATTGAGCCGAGCGAGCGAAGCTCTTATACGTCGACTCTTATGCATTTCGTAATACGCAAACTCCTCCTAGACAGCTGAATCAATCGTTTTCAAATTTTGCATGGAGATAAAGACCATATCGGTGAGTGCCAACATCTATATGGCGTTAAAAAGTCTCTCAGGAATCCGCCCCACTGGATCTCAAAGTTTCAATGTAATCCTTATGGAAGTAGTATTTGACACATAAACAAAACATATGGTCAGCTGTTGACTTTTGAATGCAGTAGATAAAGAAATAGCTGATAGCATTAATCCACAGATATTAGAACAAAAACGGTATGGAACATAAATTGTAATCAAATGACGACACTAGCTTGAGGTCTGTGACGTAGGAAGTGGTGAAGGAAGTAGTAAAGGTTAGCAGTCTGGAGTGTGAAAACTGTTTATGACGATTAGATTTAGGTATCTGCATTCCTAAAATTCTATGGGGAGGGAGGAAAACTGGTCCACGACGTAGGAAATGGTGAAGGAAGTAATCAAGGCGAGCTGTCCGGAGTGTGGGAACTGTTTATGACAATTAGATTAAAGGTATCTACAAACCTAAAATGCTATGGGAAGGGAGGAAAACAGGTCCGTGACGTAGGAAGTGGTAAAGGAAGTAGTAAAGGCTAGTCGCCCTGATTGTGGGATCTGTTTATGATCAATAGATTAAGGTATTTTCAATCCAATAATGCTAAGGGAAGGGAGGTAAACAGGTCCG